CCATAACACCTCAGCAGTGCCACAGGCTGATTGCCTCCATGCCACGCTGCATTGAAGCAGTCATTCATGCAAAAGGATTCACAACCAAGTATTGAGTGCATAACTGAACATGATTATTTGAAGGTTGGCGTTTTTTGTATTAAAAACACTTGTCATTCATTGGTGGGATGAAATATGCTAATTTTTTGGGACAGGCATTTTGGGTTTTCATGAGCTGTATGCCATAATCATCAGTATTAAAACAATTAAAGACCTGAAATATTTCAGTTGGTGTGCAATGAATCTGAAATATATGAAAGTTTCATTTTTATCATTACATTATGGAAAATAATGACCTTTATCACAATATGCTAATTTTTTTAGAAGGACCTGTACAAACTAAAACAGCTGATTTGACCGTTAACGTGCATTTATTAAGCAAAAGTTAGACTGAGACACACTTTTACTATAATTTTGAGCACACAAATAATTGTTTTTAAGTGTTAATCTTGTTAAATTCTTGTTAAAGCCCTCCCGTGCACGCTCCCATGGCCGCCATTTGGCAGCCCATCCATTTTTTTTTTTTTTTTTTTAGCACACCAGCCCACATTTCCGGGTTGTAAGCGGCGATGCGTAACAAACGCAACGCGTCAGCGGTGACACATAATAGATGTGATGTATTTATGGATTTTTTTCAACTTTTTCAGACATATTTGGACTGATGCGACTTATAGGGCAGAAATGTTATTAACTTACTTTTATATAAATGAATGTTTCTGTTCAGTGCCCTGAGATGACTTCTGTTGTGACTTGGTGCTATAGAAATAAACTGAATTTAATTTATTTTTTTCATGTACAACTGATTTGAATTAAACAGGCAGGTCTCCAAACTTCTCTGTTATTCTGAAGCAACTATTAATTGTTTGATGTAAATTGCAGTAGATCGTATTTTCCTCTGGTTCATTTCTGAAACATGGCTGTTAACAAAATGCAGGCAAATGAAACACGTGCTCACGTCAACATAAGAGCGAAACCTGTGACTGACACATTTCTACAATCTAGACGATGATCTAGACTCTAGATCTTTGATCTGTCCCAGAGATCTGTAAGAAATAATCATGGAATAAAAACTTTTTTTTTTTTTTTTTTTTACACTCCTGCTATTAATGCAAGTCTCATATTGTCTCTACTTGATTTAATTTGACGCCAATCTATCAGAAGCATCTTACGGCAGGTAAAAATGTTAATTCATCTAATTGACCAGGCTGTGATGGCAAAATGATTCCTGAAGTTTCTGGCTTTTGTGTTATTATTATTTTTTTTTTTTTGTTGTGCCCTACATTTCCAGGTATGATGACATGTTGCTGGTGCCTATTATTGAAAACACCCCGGAGGAGAAGGACTTGAAAGACAGGATGGCTCGAGCAATGGAAGAATACCCAGATTCATGTGCAGTTCTTGTCCGTCGACATGGCGTTTATGTTTGGGGAGAGTCATGGGAAAAAGCAAAGACCATGTGAGCATTTTTATCCCAACTCCATTAACCTTTATCTACATTATATATGAGAGAATATATTTGTGTAATTGCAGTGAGTTCAAATGTGCCTAAAAAAACTAATTTGACAGCTTTATGTATTTATCTCTGACAGTCTGCTGCATTTTGCAGGTGTGAATGCTACGACTACCTGTTTGACATTGCAGTCCAGATGAAGCAGTGTGGATTGGACCCCTCAGCCCTTCCAAAGGAAGAAATGGGAATAGTCTGACATTTTCTGGTGCCTATTGAAAAGACATTTGTTACAGAAGGGTTAGTGCAGTTCAATCAGGGGGGCAGATTGTAATCATTTGCCTTTCATGGCAGCCTGCTTCAAAATTGATGAAATTTGATGGTAAGGGCAAATTCAGGGTTGAAGATCGAATGGCTGTAATCTGGAAGTACCTGCAGGTGCACTGTAAAGCACTGTGGGACAACTCACCAGAGAGTAGCTGTCAAACCAATGTCCTCAGGTTCAAATGCTTTATTGTTCAAGCTTGACTGCACCGGAATCAAAGTTTTTCCGCATGTCAGGGATGAAAAGAACATGTATCTCACTTGATCTGTAATATTTTTAACATCCTGTGCCTGCATGAATAAAACATAAACTGTCAGGAGTGACTCACAGACTTTTTTTTTTTGTCTATCTAAATCTGCCAGTTTAAATGTTAAGCCACAATTCACCTGCGTAATATTTCTAAAATTAGAAATCTCTTTTTTAAACATGATGCAGAAAAACTGGTCCATGCATTTGTTACGTCTAGACTGGACTATTGCAATGGTTTATTATCTGAGTGTCCAAATAGTTATTTAAAAAGTCTTCAGTTGATCCAAAATGCTGCTGCCAGAGTCTTAACTGGAGTTAGTGGGAGAGATCATATCTCTCCATTTTTAGCTTCTCTCCATTGGCTCCCTGTCAAGTCCAGAATTTAATTCAAAATCTTACTTCTAACCTACAAAGCTCTCAACAACCTAGCTCCATCTTATATTACAGATCTTATTGTCCCATATTTTCCTAACAGAGCACTTTGCTCTCTGACTGCAGGTTTACTTGCGGTTCCTAGAGTTTCAAAAGCAGATTGGGAGGCAGATCTTTCAGTTATCAGGCTCCTCTCTTGTGGAACCAACTTCCAGTTTCTGTCCATGAGGCTGACACATTGTCCAGTTTTAAGACTGGGATTAAGACTTTCCTTTTTGATAAATCCTATTATAGTTAGGGTTGACTTATGCTGCTATAGACTTAGGCCAATAGACTTATAGAGAACAAATTGACCTCATTTACTTAAATGAGTTGTTAAAATTGAATAGTTTTCATTTGATACTATTTATAACTTAACATGTGATTCTTGACCTGCCATTGTGTATCTGTTCCTACCAAACCCAGCCGGTAGAAGCAGATGGCCACTTGTCCTAAATCTGGTTCTGCTAAAGGTTTCTTCCTCATGAGGGAGTTTTTCCTTTCCACTGTCGCCTTCATGTTTGCTCAAGATGAGAGTTTTGTGATGGAGTTAAACTCAAAGCAGTCTGCTCCTCAGATATAGAGTTAAATTTTTATTTATATATATGAATATTTCTGTTCAGTGTCCTGAGATGACTTCTGTTGTGACTTGGTGCTATAGAAATAAACTGAACTGAATTGAACTGAATTTCATATTAAACAAACCATTTACAAATGAGACAGCTTTGGCCGATGACATGAATAATAGCACACACTTGAGTGCCAGTGGTAATTTAGTCAAATATGAAAATAACTCCATATTGCATAAAAGAGCACGTGTCCATGGACATCCATTCAGTCCCACACCACCGTTCCATCAGCAAGCAGGCAAGTTTGGTGCAAAACTCGCGCAGCGCCTGCAGATCTTCACACAGCATGTGTTCTGTTGTGTGCATACTCATTTCTCATGAAAGCCGGAGCTGTCATTCTTTTAACAAGCTCCCTTTGCTGCCACTACCCAGTGCTTCTCCTCCACTCACTCAAAAGAGAACACTGTCAAATGTGCTGCAGGCTTATTAGATTGGTGTAAAAAAAAAAATGTAGCAATAAACAAGAATAGAAATCTTTTCTTTTTTTTCACTGCCAACATTCCTTACATCCTAATGAGACATTCTGCTTAACTTGCCCCCAAAGGAAACCAAACATCAACTACAACATGAAAAGGTTGCTCTGAACAGTGTAACCGACAAAACGTATGGATTTAAGTTTAGTCATTTTCACTTTTTTTTATTTAACTTAAAAAAATGTTCACATTCAAGGCATACAATTTTTCAGCAACGTCAAATTCAGACACTAATCTGACACTTTCTGAGACCCGCATGCTGCCAGTGCCAATTGTTATGTATATCATACTTCCCAGCATCCATTTCATTATGCATTGATTTTATTATGTATTACTTGTCAGACAGAAAAGTTCAGCAACATTAGGAATGGAATATGAAGTAGTTGCACAACAGAAGAGCTCTGGGGGGCACTGTGACACATCTGTTCATGCAGAATGGGGCCGGCTTGGCACACAATCCTTTCTCACAAATACTTCCAGTTGTTTGAACTGCTGAACAGGTGCCGACATGTTGTCAAAAGATGATCTACCGTATCTTTTTATAAACTTAGCCTGATTTGAACTTGTCACAAGGTCAAGAAAAGATGGGGTTGAGATGCTAAAGAACTTAAGACTGCTAAGCTGTGAACAGAACCAGACCACACTTAACACCGAGGTAAGACATGTCTGCTGTGGTGAACATGCAGCTGGACTAAAAATAGACTTAACCTAATCAGTGTTACTGTTTTACACTGACAATGTAAAGTATGTAGTTAATAATGGTAAAATATGACTAATAAATGTTAGTAATTCAACTGTAATATTTATTTAGTAACACTTACAATGGATGCTCCTATTTCTCATGTAATTAAAGCAGTTAAGTCGCATTGGCTTTGGATAAAATATAACCTTTTGATAATGTTTCACTATGATGGAAGAGATTTTTATTACACAGCAAAGTTAAGTCAGGTCCTCTGGATGGATTATTTTTGTTGAAACATTTTGTTTTTCATCCAAAAGACTTCATCAGTCCAAGGAGCCACAACAAACTCGGTCTTATAAACAGCACCTTCACACAGTGGATGAATCAGTTTGATGGTGCTCAGTTGGTTTCTGTAGTCAGCCCTCTCCCCTGTTGACTTGTTTGAGGCAGTCATGGCCAAAGTGGTTTAAAATATTTTAATTCATGCTCAATAATTCAGGTAGAAAAGTCCATCAAAGTTAAGTCAGGTCTTCTGGACCCAGTCCAGTTTATTTTTGTTGAAACGTTTCGTCCTTCATCCAAAGAACTTCATCAGTCTGAGAAACCACAACAAACTCAGTCTCGAGTTTGTTTGTTGAGTTTGAGGCATGACTGCCTCAAATAAGTCAGTGGGGGGAGAGGGCGGACTCCAGAAACCATCTTAGCACCATCAGACTGGTTGAATCACTATGGGAAGGTGCTGTTTATGACTGGGTTTGTTGTGGCTCCTCGGACTGCTGAAGTCCGTGAGAGATTTATTTGTCATGCACACCAAACGTGATACATGAGGTGGGATGAAACCATGTACATTGGGTCCCAGTTACATCCAACAAAAGCACAAATTGTAAAGAAAAACATTAGTAAGATCCGAGTCATGAATACTACTTTCACTAAACTAAGAATACACCAAGTACTAATAGTACAAAAACAATGTGCCAAACAACAGCAGCACGAACATGAGTGTGTGTGAGCAGATGAGGATTAATGAACACAGCAACATGAAATAATCAGCAGCATGAGATCAGCATCATGGATAGTCAGCAGCACATATCAACAACAAGTGACACTACAGGCACTTTTATTCCTTCTGAAGTCCATGACCATCTCTTACATCTTCTTCACATTGATGTGAAGGTTGTTCCTGCACCAGCTCTCCAGGTGTTCCACCTCCTGCCTGTAGCTGGACTCATCATTGTTTGTGATGCATCCCACCACCACTGTATCATCTGCAAACTTTACAATGTGCCAGCCTGGATGGGTAGCTGCACAATCATATGTGAGCAGAGTGAACAGACAACACGTTTCAACAGAAAGAAACTGTTCAAAGGACCTGACTTTGTTGGATTTTTTCTACGTGAATTATTGGACATGAATCAGGAAGCTTTTATTACCTCACTATGTTTCAAACATTTTATTTTTCCAATCAAATTGTAGCTATGCTTTTTTTCTTCTTGCATTAGGACTTTATGCTGAAAAAAGTGTAGGCCCTATGTAAAACCTACGATTTGTCTAAATCTGACTAAATGTTTTTATTTGTTTTTCCTTTTCAGCGTCTTACTAAAAGCAACATAATTAAAGGTGGCAGTAACATTACTGTTTTCACTTTTTTGGCATGAGAAAATACTGGGTGCCTAAGCCCACCATCTATTTAAAAACTGAACAATAACACACCTCTGTCATTTTGATGTGGACGAACAGCTTTGAGAAGTTTCATTCAGTGAGCTGTTCGGTCTGCATGAGAAAAAGGTGAGCCACTTCTGTGTGGATCAGAAGGAATCCAGCCCAGTTATCTGTATTCTCCACCTACTTTAAGTTAAAATCATTAAACCAACACCTGTGCAGTAGCACAACTGGGCCTATATTGTGGGCCCAGCATTAATTTGTCTTATTTTCTCATGACTGTGTTTGTGTGTAACAATAGGTTCTCTTTGCTTTACATTGAACAGCTGATGAACACACGGTTGGAAAACAGAAGATAAAATACATTTTCTTGTCATAATTTTAGAAACATGACATATCCAGAATGTTTGTTGCACTTGAAATACATTCAAGTGCTTAGTGATAAAAAAAATAAGGTACCACTTTACATTAAGTCTCCCCTTATAGATGGCTAATAAATAGTTTATAAATAGGTTATTATATCCGAATTTGTAAACCTACTTTATTACTGCATTATAAGCATCTACAACTAATATTATATGCTAAAAACTTAGGTTAACAAATGCTTATTGTGCTTACAAGGTAGGAACTTAGTGTGAAATGTTACTCTAGATGGAATATATAGGTGAACAGATCTGAATCACTATTTGACAAGAAACTGGTCTGTTTTGTTTCGGTCACCCTTAATTAATGCATAATAAACAGTTATTAAGGATTTATAAAGTGTTTTAGAGGAATTAATAACAAATCTATAAACTTCACTGGCATTAGCATCTATAAAGGGAGCCTTACTGTAAAGTGGTACCAAAAATAAAGTATATCATCAGCATTCTTCTACATTGTTTCCACACTGTAGTTTAAAAATCTAAAATGTTTTATTTATATATATATATATATATATATATATATATAACTGTAAAAATTGGGAGGCAAAATACCTATTTTACCATCTGAGTTTATTTATATATGAATTTATTAAATATTCCGAGTGTTGTCGTTCACAATGCTGTGAAAAATATTTGCACCTTTACAAATTTCTTCTAGGTTTCCTTCTTGGTCACATTTAGACACTTTAAACAATTGTTAATATTGGACAAAGAGCCGAGATAAACACATATTGCAGTGTTCAAATAATGATTTTATTTATTAAGGAGGAAAAAAAAAGGCTGTTCAA